ACAGGAGTAAATTTAATAAAACCACCACCAATTGTTTACTTTAACATAGCTCTTGTTACAGAAATCATAGAAATGGACTCAGTAGCTAACTCATTAGTTTTTTTCCCCTTTTAATTGAAAAATACCCCTCTGATTTCAACTTCTACTGCACTAGATGGAGTGTTAAATAGTTGGCAGGACAGTATGCCCAGTAATTGAGCCCAAAACAAACACAAAAGACAATTCCATCATCTTTCCTTTTCAACCTTACAACTCATTATAATGTAAGTGAAACTTAAAACAGCAAGGAACGCTCCATTCGACAGATTAAAGGGGGAGGGAGAGGAGATCCACAGCCAAACTCTTTCCAGAAGTCTGTTGAGAAGTGGTGCACAATACCCCTCTCTCCTTTTCCTGCCTCAGAAATAAAAAACAGAACTGGAACCACACACACACACACACACACACACACACACACACACCCCCCTGCGCTGGGTTCTGGGAACGGCCGAGTTGCAGTTGGGCAGATATCGATCCAGGGCCAAAAAAACCTAAGAGAAAAAGGCAAAGCACCCTGCAGGACAGGGTACGCGGGGCACGCACACACCAGCAGGAGCTGCGCGCGAGGGGAGGGGGCCGCTGCCAGCAATGGATGCACACACAAAACCGGGGAGGGCTGTGGACATAAAGGAACTGCAGGAAGAGGAGAAAAAAAACCCAACTTTGCAGGTAGAAGCGTTCAGGAAAAAGAAATCTCTATATTCACTGTACCAGCACACGCTTCCCCCACCCCATCCCAGGGAAAACAAAGTGAAACAAATGAAAAGGAAAAAAAAAAACAAAACTGAAAGAAAATGCACAGCAAATAGACATAATCTTGAAGATTTTTAAAGAATAAATATTTTTTGTAATTAAACATTATGCAAACACGTGCCACGCTTGCTCTTTGTCCATGCATATGCGCTATATACAACTTTGAAAAATACTGTGTTGTCCTCTTTTTGTTTTAAAAGTCATATACAAAGTTTTTTTTCTTGTTTTTTTTCTTTTTTTTTTTTCTCCTTGCTGTGTACCCCTCCCCCCCTTCCTCCCCTCCCCAAAATTCATCTTCACACTGAGCCAATCGACATTTATCCATGTACTGGGGTGGCAGAGAGGAGGAGGCGGGCAGGAGAGCCATTCCCCCCCCCTTACCAAAGTACATCAAAATGACTGGTTTGGACATGAAAAGCAGTGTCAAGAAACTGGTTTAAATTTCATCTGTACTACACACAGAAAAAAAAAGATAGAAAAGAAAAAGGAGTCGGCTTGGAGAATGAAGCTACGTTACAAGTTAAAGTTGGAGGGTTTTGTTTTGTTGGGGTTTTTTTTGTTTGTTTTTAGTGCATCTGTCACACTCTTATTGGCCGCCTAGAATACTGTTGTACAATGGTTTATCTACCTTTTTTTTTATTACAATATAATTTACTTAAATTTTCTGTTAACAAAACAGAAGCCCGGTACTACAGACCAGCAGTATAACAGGCGTAGCGCCTCGGGTGTGGTTTTGTTTGTTTGTTTGTTTTTATTTGAATCGCATGAGCACTCTAGATGGTAAAGGTTTCAGAGTTCGTTTTATGCGGGGCCAGGTTCAGTCCTCGATGTACTCCCACAGGTCCTTCTCGTAGCCTTCATGCACGTGCTGCAACAAAACCCTCCGCCGGCTCTCGCAGTATCTGCGGCACAGAAAATGCAGGTTAGGAACCACTGCTCAGCCCCAGCACTGAGCATCAGACTTACACTGAGCCTCACTTCCTAAAGAGATTCCCCCAAGAAGGGACTTTGCATTTGTAGCCCATTAACAGCACTAATTAAGACTTCAGTTACTGCAGTCACTCAACTCCAGGTCCCTAGCTGAAAAAAAACCAGCACTGCAAATTCAGAGTTTCCCACTCAAAAGCATCCCCAAAGCCCCTACAGCTGAGATACCTCCATTAATCACTGAAAAAAGCAGCAGCTATGATTTGCAGAGTCGCATGGGTTGGCAGTGACACTCAAAACAGGATGAAGCTCTCCTCAAATGTGAGCCGGTGCCTGCTCACCAAGTCCCATCAAGACACCAAAAATCCAGGAGCCAGGTGGGCAAGACCTCAGGAGTGCTGACCCAGTTTTATTCCCCTCCAAAATCCTGGAGGAGGTGGAAGCGGTCAAGCTGGCTATGAGAAAAGGTTATGGGCCTGGTTGGAGTGGGATTTTTACCTCACATTGCAACTCCAGGGTCTCTACGCCCTGCAGGGTCTTCCCAACTAGGCTCAGTTAAACAAAGCTGCAAATAAAACTGATCCTGGCATTAGGTACAGTCCTACCGGGATCAGGCAGGAAAAGTGGTATCATAGGACCTATCAAAAGATGCCACGTTCATTTCAGGTGCGTTAGCCAACTAAAAAGATAAAAGCAGAGAAATGTTTAAAGTGTTCCAGTTCCAAGAGCAAATGATGAATGAGCAGCAGGCATTTCAGGACTAAACCCCTTCCAGCAGCCATGCCAAAGCCTGCATCATCTTCAGGCATGCAGAGGACAAGACAAGTCTGTAACAGCTCCCAAGGCCCCAGGTGCTGCTGTGTATCCTGTTCATGATTCGGCAGTCCCCAGCCCAGAGTGGGATGCTGTAATGTAAGAAACTGGAACCCAAGAGCCAGCTGCCGAGTTACTGGTTCCTACTGGGAATTGTGTGGTTGTTTCCAAGCACACACATCGGCCAGAGCAGCATCTGAGGGGCTCTCGCAGTTGGGAACCCAGTTTGCTCAGCAACGGCCAAACATCCCTCTGCTCGCTGAAGCGAGGTGCACAGGAGGAGTTTCCCCACAGAAAAGCTCTCCTTGATCACAATGCACGCCAGCACGTAGGCACGAGGAGTGAATCACAGCATCCCAAGCCTGGAAACACCTTGCCTTAACCCTGCTACCATTCAGGGTCTGATCAGACAGCTTTTATCTGAATAAAACTGTTCTGGCTCTTCCCACTGCTATCAGCTGTTGCAACAGAACCCATCATACACAAAGTCCCATTGATTTTTGGAAGCATGTGACAGCAAACACGAACAGTTGCTGCTTTCCCAACTTCAGTTATTTTGCTGGTGGTGGGGGTTCAACCTCATTTCTGGAAATGTCTTTGCAAGCCAAGAGATCGAAACAGCTGAAACCAACTTAGCCAGGAGATCCATCCCTGCCATTTCCCAGAACTCTTTAAACCCACCTCAGGAACGTCCTTGGTCCCAGTCTGGCATCAGCACATGGTAACCAGTAGACAGAACCCCCGGCAGGACACGATTAAGACATGACCAAACTCATTTATTAGGGACCTGCACGGGCTTGACAAATGCATACTTTCCTCCCAGAAACACAAAGGCGTGTTTGGGATACTATGTTTTCAAGCAATTCATGCTATATTATTAGGTTTTAATTTTTTCAAGATAGCTGTTACCAACAGCTTCTCAAAAGAGAAGGCCTGGGAGTCTCGTCCAGCCCCAGCCATGCTGTCAGACTCCAGCAGAACACAGTCTCAGCTTAACAGCTACTTCCACTCCCCAGAGTCCTTTATTCACCACGCCTCACCCTACTTTGGCTTTTTTTGTTTCCCCCCCCCACAAGCAAAGCATCACGAATTGAGTGACTTTGGCAAAACGCCTCAAAAATGCAAGCCATAATCCTGTGACTCATCCACATTTACAGCTTTGTATTTTTCCACTGTGCAGGAGCTGTTCCTCCAGACAGAAGCATTGGCATTGGTGGTACCTGGACCCTGGCTCTTCTGTTCTCTTCCCCAGTTGGGCTGGTTGCTCTCTCCATCTTTCAGATGGCTTTTCTACACCCATGTTTTGCATAAATGGACCCAAAAGAGAAATCAAATTGCTGATTGCTCTTACAGCAACTCATCCCGAGCCAAAGCTGTCAGTTGGGAACAACAAAGTCACTCCTTGTTCTTTGGTTCCCACTGTGCAAGTCACACCTCGGTCCTGGCCATTCCCACGTGCTGCTTCTGCACAGGAACAGTGGCGTATGAGGAGCCATTGCTTCTGGCCACAATGTTTTTCTATTATGGGATTGGATCTTCTGGCTACTGCTCAGCAGAGCAGATGCAAGGCAGAGTTGGGAATCTCTCCCTGCAGCCTCTTGCCTCCCCCAAGGGCTGGTCCCAGCAGAGGCACAAAAACACGCTGCCAGCATCTGCATGAGGGCTTCAGAGACAATGATTTCAGGGGCTGGCGTGGGACAGGGCTGGTGCTGCTGTTCTCAGATGGCCAGGGACTGGCCGACAATCACAATGTATGGCAGAAGGCCAACAGCAAACAGCTTCCAAGGGACGGGACTCTGGAGAAAACTGTCGCTTGGCAAGTACATGTGCCGCTACCGATCAGAGGGGATGGCGATACGGGCACTCGAGCCGCTTTGACACAGAGAATTATGGAAAAAAGACAAACCTGTACTTATCCTGTACTTTCTGCTTTATGTCTTGCAGCGAATCTTGGGATATATCTCGCTCAAGGTACCCAGAAAGCACCTCTGTAGCATTCTCTAAGTCTGCTTGGTTATTCTGCAAAGACAAAATACAAAAAAGAAAGGAGTATTTCAAGGGGGAAGGAAAGGAAGACTTTTTTTCTTCAATCCAGCTGAAAGCAGTACTGAAACACAAAGCAGGATGACACACACACACAGTGTAATATTCTAGTAACCTGCTCTGAGCATCAAGATTGAAAAAGCTGAACTTTCTTCATTTAATCAGAAGAGAATCTGCAAATCTACCAGCAAGTCTTACATCTTCCTCTGCCCGCAATATCCTGACAAGCCTAAAAACAAACCCTTTCCTTGCTAGCAGTACAGTGCAGTAGGAGACAGTTCATCTCCAATTCTGCCCCTTGTCTATTTATTTTGTCCCAGCTTTGGCAAAGCCTCAACCAACTCATAAGAGCCCGGCTCCCACTACTGCTCCATAGCTCTATGCACCTCGGCTGGGTTGAGCACGCAGCACAGGAGCATCCTGGACCAAGAACAGCAAAGGACTGGTTTACATCATAAATAGCCAATTTCACCTACAAATTGGACCTCCAAGTGTGGTTTTACTGGTAGTGCCTGTAAAGCCCTTATTTCACTTAGCTTTATAATCTGAACTCTTGACAACCACAGCTTCTCATACCTCAAAGATAATGGACTGATTATTCTTTTTGAGGTAGAAGGCAAAGACGTAAGTGTACATGAGTGTGGCACGACACTGGCAGAGGACGTCGACTGCTTTCTTCAGGAACTGCACCTCGATCCACGACATGTTGTGCTGCTGCATCTCCTCCATTTTTTGCTTCACCTGAGCATAGAGCTTGTGCTCAAAGCGCAGGCTCTGCATGTGGTTCATGTAGCGGTTGCAGTAGAACAGGTACCTCTGCAGGGCTGCTCTGGATCGCTGTGTTAATTCCCATTAAGGAAAAAAGAAAACAAATAGTTAAAACAAAGTAACACTGCAAGAGAAGTAGACCCTTCACAAGGCTCTTCCTGACCCTGATCTTCCTTTCCAAAGGTGTTTCCTCTCCTCTCACTCTGGCCAGACTAGGCTGGCGCCGCTTTGTGCAGCACCCTTAACCCTCATACTGGGGTTAAGCTGCGAGACCAGACCCACTGGAGCTCGCTGTCATGCAGGACTTAAATGCTTCCCATGTCACGACAGTGAGAAGCAGATTTTTCCTTTTTTAAGAGGGCACAAAGGTTGCCTCAGGTTGCCTAGGCCACGCTGATTATAGCACATGGTGCCTTTCCCCTGTTTTAAGTAGTACAAGGGAACCAAGATGACTCAATACACAGCCATTAATTTTATCTTCTTTCCTGACAGATCAGCTGGAAAAAAATGACAACATAGGCATGGGTAAACTTGTACTAAGGTAGCAGGTATCAGCCAAAGTCATCCCTATCTGAAGGAGCAGGGGCTGCAGGAAATACTTTGGATCTTGGCTATAACACGACAGAAATGCAGGAAACGCTCCCTCAACAAGTTTGCAGATGACACTGA